ATAAACCAATGTATTGTGAAGATATAATGTACCCTAGTTCCAAGTCAACACCCAGGGTCAATCATAAGGCCAAATAGCCCTATAGGAACTCTTCTTGAGCTTCCCCCATAATGATCTTACCTACTAAATGCTAGAGGTTAAGGTCAATATGTGGAATTTTAAGTTGAGTAAAGAGAAGAGTTTTGAATTTCTAATGGTGATGGTACATTTTCTAGTTTTCTAAGACTAGTCAATAGGAAAGTCCTATGGTTAGACCTAGGCTACTAAAGAAATTTCTAGACCTCAACCAAAAGTGAGGTCAACACCACTATGACACTTCACAACTTCATCCGACGTCACCCCTCTCATTCAGATACGGACTTCAATATGGTTGATGATGATCAAATTATTGACACTCTAGAACCGTCGGGATCTCTAACTGATAATGAGATGAACTCGATTGAATATAAAACTCAAGACGGTGAGGGTGCAGTTGAGATGGCTGCTCTGAGGGAGTCTATAGCAGATGTTATATATGACAGTTAGTCCAACAAGTCTTTTCTCTGTTCGTAAATTAATTTTAAATGTCAATTTTACTTTTATTTGGATAAGTACTAACAATCTTTTTTTTTCATAGTTATAGAAACATGAATTCTAAGATATCAGTTACAGACAGAGATTTTTTGTGTTATTGTGCTCTACCGGCTCCGTTGCTCACATCGCGTCAGTCTCATAGCTTTGGGAGGCAGTTCTACGGTTGTGCCAAGGGTGTTTCTGCTCGTTGCTGCTTCTTCCGGTGGGCTGACAGTCTCTCATATGACTCTCATATGACACGGCCAGCAGTCATGGGAATCCGGTGTTTTCTGACTTTGACAGAGCAGATGAGGACAGACGTAGCCAGAGTCTGAAATTAAACATTTTAATATTTCTGACTGTACTTGTACTTGTATTTGTACTTTTTTAGTTCTCCAGGTACTCATGAGAGTGTGAGAAATGTATGACATCTTTTAGTACTGATCTGTGATGATTTCATGTTTCTGCACTATATGCTTCAGTACTACCAATAAGCTATTATTAATAAGCTACCTCAAACAGTTTTATCACATAGGGGCATGAATGTCATTTAACCACCAATAAGCTATCTTGAATAAGCTGCCTCAAACAGCAAGACAAATTATTCAGATAATCTGCAGATTATCAGATTATCAGAATAATCTGCTTATCAGCAGATTATAAATAATCAACAGCTGCGTCAAACAGACCCTAAGTGTGGGAGTTTGTGAAACCCCCAAAATAGATTGAAGCTGCACTCTCAAACATAGAGGCGCCTTTTGAGAGCATGTCTGAGATTGGTGACCTCCTAGGAAGTTACAACAATGGGGCAAAGTTGTGAGACCGTTAAGCTAAAACGGGCAATATCTCAATGGATGAGAGTTCAAGCTATGACAAGACATCTAGTGATTAGATAGTCGAACAAACAATAATATTTATTGGTCGTTTAGCTTAATGAAAAATCTTGAGTTCACCTTATAAGCCGACAACTAATTAAAATGGCAAGGACAAAGATAACAGGACATTTTCAGCAAAAGCAATGCAAGTTGCAATAACAAATATATAAAGAAAGATTCTATAGCCGGCGGTTCCAATTTGAGTTACTTGATCGAATTGATCTAGCAAAATTGTCCATTTGGGTCACAAAGTCATCTAGTCTCGCATCTCAAACTCGATCCAGGGGTTTTTTGGCTATACAACATGTTTGTGTGTGTATGTGTGTGTAGTACTGTGCTTTAGTTACAAATTGATAGTCCTCATTGGAAAATATTTCAGCTTCTCAGAGTTGGTCACCTCATAACTTGACCATTCATAATTGAAAATTTGAATAACAAATTAATAGTATGCGTGAAATAAATAAATAAATAAAAATAAAAATAAAAATAAAAAACTTGTTAAGATCCCTCCAAGGAACCTAAACGCTTCGAACACTTGAAAGAAACACACCTGGGGTTCAGGAGCAGCATTCCGAATAATTTCCTCCACATGTTTCAGGAATAAGGCATGCATCCTCTTCAACCTCTCTACAGGCTGTGCATTTCTATTAGCCAAGCGCAAATAAACTTATATTTAAAATATGCACCACTGAATATAGGAAGAAAAAAAAATCCCAAACACGAACAGAAACCTCGAAATTCCGAGTCTGTAGACTTTGTTTGCTTCCAGCAAATCTCCTTTCGCTATAAGAAAAGCTGCATACGCCTCGAACAGAATCGATAGCCCCTGGCAGATCCCCTTCTCCTCCATCATCTCAAAAATCCTCTTAAAGTCTTGAATCACGTCCCCCTTTTCCACAATAAGAACATCAGTTGAACTGATTCAAGAAAAATGGCCCTCAAAGGGTTTCTATAACAAAACGTGAAGGTACATTACATAAAGGATGCAGATCTTGACAAATCTGGCGTCGTTCCGGTAGTGCTCATCGTCGGAGAAGCATGAGATACAGTTCTCAAGTAAGATCCTGAGACTATCCCCACACTCCTCAGGGTTCCTTCTGTACTCAGCCAAGGCCCGGCGGATGGAAGTGAGCCAGGGAAAGGAGGGGGTCGGCCAAGGAGCGAGGTGAGATATGAGAGCTCGGGTTTAGCGATTGAGCATTCCGTGTGGGTGAGTAGCGAAATAGACTGCCGACGGATGCCTGCTCCAAGCGGCGGGGGAACTCGACCATGGCGGAGATTGGCCGCCGGAAGAAGATGAGAAGGGTATAGAGAGAAAAAACAGTCGCGAGGGAAAGTTTCGTATTCGAATTCTGTTGATAAGTCGGGAATGCGAGTAAAGCCAACAAGAATTTTAAAGGCCTGTAAGGCTACGACACGATTATTTATGTATTTACAGAACTTATAGTCAAACTTATATATATTCAGTCTTAACACTCTCATCTCATAAACTATATATGAATTATTGTATTTCACATTTAAAAATAAGGCTCTTAGATTCCAGAGATTCTCTTATACCTTGTTTGGCTTTGTAGGGTCTGTTTGGGGACAGCTGCAGCTTCTTAGCTTTTTAGTTGTAGCTGCGCTCTTCCAAGAAGCTGCTGCAGGGAAGTTGTTGCAGGGAAGCTGGTTGTCTGTTTGTTGCAGCTGTGTGAAAACAACTGTGTGGGACAGCTGTTTATAGAAAAATGAACATTCTACTCATATTTAGTCAAGTTGTTTAAAACAGAGCTGTGACAATCATATATTTGATATTTTAGAAGTATAAATTAAAAACAGATAAAATTTAGATCACACATGTTTAGTAAAGCTGCATTTGAATTTTTAAAACTAAAAATGGGGATGTTTTTGATGTGATAAGAAAGATTTAGGCGGTATCAAATGTAAACAAATAAAGTTTAGATCACACGTATAAATAAGTAAGAATTGAGTGGCTTGTATGTAAATGCCCCTAAATTATTTCCTTCGGGCGCTAAACTCCAAGCCCGTGGTCTCGGGGTTTTAATAAAAAGCCCTTCTCCGTGAAAATTTATTGCATATGGACACCGCATGCAGAGATGCATGCGGTATCTGATCTACACCATAGATCACGGTGAGAATATATTTCGGTGGGCCCATTTTAATATATATATTTTAAAAAAATTTAATTGCATAATATAAGGTGTAGATCGAACAATGCAATAATTTCTCCTTCTCCTTAACCTCAGCTCACTACCTGTACCCGACTTTATCTTCAAGCCGCGAGAAGGGCAAGGAGGTGGAAACTTGTGAGGCCAATAGGAGCCTTATCTCATCCTTCTGCCTAGCCTTATCACTCATGTCTGTGTTTGCTCTCTCTTCCAGAGCTTCTCTTCTGTATTCTTTCTCAACCTTCCCAGGAGAGTCTATGTATTTCCTTCACTTCCCCCTTTTCCATTCAAAAAGAACCTCTGCTTGCTTAGGGCTTCTTCCTCAATGGTTTCAAGTAGGAGCAGAGCAAAAAGGAGAAAAAGGAGAACAATGGGAGTTTTGAAATCAACTCATGTGCGATCCAGTTGTGGCCTTCCTAGTCGAAGTCGAAGGGCATAAAAGTAAATAATCGAGCGGTAACGCGGACCGCGGGATCTCACCTGCGGCCCGCGTTTTGCTCAGATTCGCTGCCCCCGCGAGCAAAACGCCGAGCCAAACGACCCTATCGCGGCCTCCTGCCATCGCGCAGAAAGCTACGCCAAACGGACTCGTAGTCTCGGAAAATTATTCTGTCCGACGACCGCATATGCTCTACATGCGATATCGAATTAAAAAAGTAACACGTGTAATGGTGGGCCCTCAGTGAAGAGAAATAAGCAGAATGCATGACCCGACCCGAAACCCGCCCAATAACCGGAAAAAAACGTATATTTGGATCTATAGGATCCTGCCAAATCCAGAATTTCGACATTTTTGATCCCGCCAAAGATTATTGGTGCCTTTTCCGGTTTATGGATGTAGATTTTTTTTATTTTCTTTTTTGTTCGTATTCGAGTGGTAGGACAGAGTTCTTATTATGTGCGGACACCGCATTAAATGGATTTCTCTGTCGACCAAGAAATGTTGATAAAATCTCAAAACAATTGTGAGAATGACGACAATTAGCTTGATTAGTAGTTGCGTCTGGAAGCATTCCTCAGGCAGAGTTCTTTCTTTGTTCTGGGTGCTGCTATTAATGGCTTCCAAATGATAGTATTGTTGGGCTCGGATTATGTGATTACTTTATTATTTGATTGCTAAGTTAATTTGTAGGTGTTATCATTGTGTTTAAGTTGTCGTAATGGTATTATTCTTCTGGTATTATTGTGGTTGATATTGTTTTTTCTGATATCATTGGGTCTTATTTAGGTTTTATCATGAGTTTATTCTGATGTTATTATGGTTGTATTATGGTAGTATTTATGCATTTTAGGCTTTCAAGAGTGTTTGTGTTATTATGGTATTATTACTGTAGTATTATGGTTGTATTACGTATCATGGTGTTATTTATTATTGTATCTAATTAGTGTTTTTAACAGAGTGTTATGTTCGGTGTAAGTTGTGTTATTTTGGTGTTATCATGGTTTTATTATGCTAGTATTTTTGCATTTTTGTGTTTAAAATATACTTTTGTGTTATTATGATATTATTTATGTGGTATTATGATTGTATTATGTATTATGTATTATGTTATTATTGATTTATCGTTTCATACCAGCATGATTGTATTTCTTAATTGGTTACGTTGAAGCGTTATTTTGTCAATCTAATGGTGGAATGTTTGAAAGTTGCAGCTCCCCGAGCCTTTAACTGTGTGCATTGATCCAATTGCAGATAGTTTGCTTCGCGCGGTGATTCATAATGAGAAGGAAGCCTATGAAAATTATTGTGCATATGCACACCATATTGGATTCACTGTGCGAAAGGACCATGTTGATTTTTGGCTTAATTCAAAAATGATTAAGACAAAGAATTTCATTTGTGGTAAGGCTGGTTTCAAGAAGAATTGAATAACAATGTGGTGGTAAAGTACAAAAGAGGGGACACAATGACTAGTTGTTCAGCCATGATCTGATATGTTGTCGATTTAGAAGGTAACTGGTCGGTTAAGAAATTTATAGAAACTCATAACCATCCTTTGGAGGCAGAAGGTGACAAACATCTATTGCCTTCCAGCAGAAAAATGAGTGATGTCAGTGCACAAGTGCTCAGATCGATGACAAAATCAGGGATCAGAACAAAATCAGCCTTTAGTTTTTCGGCTACAGAATTTAGGGGTGTTGAAAATCTTGATTGTACGAAGAGGGATGCTTATAATTTCATATAAAGAGAGAGAGAAAGAGTATGATTGAAAATGAGGACGCTAATTCTCTACTTAGATTGTTCACTGAGAGGCAAGCAGAGGATACGATGTTTGCATGAGACGTTCAAATTGATGAGTTTGATAGTTTATTGAATTTCTTTTGGAGTGATGAGATATCCAAACTTGATTACAATTGCTTTGGGGATGTCATAATATTTGACACAAGTTATAGATTAAATAAATATAATTTATGTTGCGCTCCTATTGTCGGTGTGAATCACCACTAGCAGAACGTTCTATTTCGAGTTGGCTTTTTGTCAGATGAAACAGTTGAATCATTCAAGTGACTATTCAAATTATTTATTCGGATTATGGACAACAAGCACCAGATGACAATATTCACTGATCAGGATAAGCAATGACCAGAGTCATTGAAGAGTGCCTTCCGCACACAAGACATAGATTATGCCAATGACATATTTACAAGAAATTATCTTCAAAACTACATTATGGTGTAAGCACCAAGAAAGTCAATGAGTTTTTTTATAAATGCATGACTATGTGTAACTTAGAGGAGGAGTTTGAAGAAACTTGACATACAATAATTGTGTTAGGAAATCTATATGAGAATGCTTGGTTGATTAGTTTGTATAATATCATGCATAAGTAGTCAACAACTTTCAATAAGGAAATATTTGGGATGGGGATGCTTTCAACACAAAGAAGTGAGTCGACGAATAACATTTGTCATAATGCCTCCAAGCCAACAAGCACCCTCACTGAGAGTTTCTTGGGTCTTGAAAATGTCATGAAAGCTTTGAGAAGGAATGAGAAGGATGAAGATACAGTCTGCAATTGGTCTGCAATTGTCCCCGCTGTAAAAAGTAGTCCTGTGTTGAGGCAAGGAGCTTTAGTTTATACGAGGAAGCTATATTCATTCAATGAAGCAGAGTTGTTACATGGTTTGTGTGGACTTGCTGTAGAGTGCTCAGCCACCTCAAATTCAAAATTTTATGTTAGAAACTTAGATAATGAGCACACAGTCAGACCGTAGATTGTTAAGGTTGATGAAGGTAATTCTGAAATTACATGCAGTTGTAAGATATTTGAAATGATGAGGATATTATGTGTTCACACTCTAAGAGTGCTTAACCATGAGAACATAACAAAGATCCCTGATAAATGTATTTTACTGCGGTGGTCGGTTCATGCAAAGAGAGATATATATAATAACTATGATTATAAACATTTGAAAGATTTGCAAACTTCAGCAACTTGTTCGAGTGGACTCATATATCGAACACACGTTCATAAATTTGCATACCGGATCAGCATATTAACTCAAGGTAATGAACTTGCTGAAAAAAAATGTGCTGGAAACATTAAGGAAACTAGGAAACTAACACTCGAATCTGAAGTCATATTAAATGGGAGAGACCATCAAGAAATGTCAATGTCAAAAAATAAAAAAACACCGAATAAACCACACAATTTGAAGGACCCAACAAAGATGCGGCCAAAAGACGTTTCTAATGTTATGTTAAAAGGCTTTTGGGAGAAGAATAACCGATCAAAAAGTAAGATTGAAAAATAAACAAAGTGTTAGTTAGGTTATATTCTTCTATTATTTTGGATGTATGCTGAATTACAACTCACTAAAATTATTTGGGGGACAGCTTGAAGAGGCTACAAAAAAAAATTATGTTGTTAGTGCTAGGACAGCTGGAAGAGGCTACAAAAACAAATTTCAAATAACACATTAACAACATCTGGCTGATCTCCTGGAGTTGTTAGTGCTAGGACAGGTGATCCTTCTACTTCTTCATCTTCAACTCTATGTTGTCCCTCTACATTGGGGTTCGTGTGTACACCAAGAAATACAATTATTTGAAGACCCATATCTGCTACAGGGTCTATTATTGGTTCTTCAGTAATTTATTGTTCTTCTACTATGGTGGTGGTAAGTACAACAGCATCTTCCTCGGGTATTATCGACTCATCGACTTCACCTGTTGTTTTTCTTCTTTTCAGTTCGAAGGTAGTGTAAGGTGAACTCACTGTCTTCTTTCTTCTGCTTCGTATGCCCTTAACCCTCTGTATTAAGCTGGCAACGGATCGTTCAACTTTATCTCGTTCAACAGGGGTTCCTTCTTCCACAACAACCGACGGCTGGATTCCCTCTTCTCCAACATAAGTTGTATGCTGGGTAACATCAACAGAAGCTGAATGTTGGGTAACAAAATCATGAGGACTCCACCCATGAGGGGAGGTTGGCTGGGGATCATCTACTCCGATCTCTTCGCCTTTATTAGTTGGAATATTTTCAGATTTATCAAACTTATGTTGCAGCACCGACATTTGCCCCTGCAAACTCGACACTCCAACAATTATTGTATTCAAGGTTCCTTGAAATTCAGTGAACCATTTCTCTTGGCCTTTAAGCAGCTCGACTATTGATTCCATGCTTTTATTTATTGTGGTATACAGTGGCTCAAGGGCGATGTCTCCTGAATCAACTGGCCCCATATTAAATGATACAGGTGCCTCTGGTCCGCCTTGGACTTGCGTCACCAGAACTGGACCAAGTAATCCTTCATCTGAATTGGATAACAGATTAAGCTCATCCTCTTTCAGATCCAAAAATTTATCATGAACCTGTGAGTACTTTCAAAAAGAAACGCTTTGATCATTACTAGTTTCAAAATAACATAATAATTTAATTAAAAAATAAAAATATATGTAACTTGTCTGATCAAGAGTCAACATCTTAAAAGCTATATCAAGTTGGGATGAGCTCAAGCTTACAGTTGTTGGTCACCTCAACATTCGAGGTCTAGCCTCAGGATTCACAAGAGTAACCAAATAAGTGTGCTCATAAAACAAGAGCTGTGTAAAAAAAAGACATATTCAGCTTTACACAAAAAAAATAAATAGTGTTTGACTTTAATACGATGTACTTACCGTTAACAAAAAAAAGAAAACCATTTATATATCCCAGAGGCTGGTTCCGCCTTATTTTGATGGCAACCGCATTTATTTACTCAATAAGATATTCACATAGCTCAGCGGGCCAATTAAATGAAGCAAACATATCTACATTCTCTCCAAAGATGTAAAGTCCTTTGGATACACTGAAATTACTAGACGGAAAAAATAAATTTGATAACAAATAATTTATATACAATTGATTAAAAGGGGCAGAAGACTCCCCAGTTCCGAAGTTTAACAGTTCAACCTTCATTTGACGGGCATCAACGCCACAGGATGAAACTTTTTTCCACTTTGGAACTTCTCCTCTATTTGGCATGTCAATCAAAAGGACAACTTCATCAGGATTAATCCTCAAATCTTTCCCTCCCAGTCTGAAAACCATTTTTTCATGTATCCAACATTGCAATAT